GCTACGCCCATCCAGTCACACGACCAACTAGTCACATGACCATGCTATGCCCGCCCTGTCACATGATGAACAAGCAACACCCGCAATCAAATGACCAAGTCACACCCACAGAACCAGCAGTAAAATTTTTTGAAATCCACTCCTGATAGTATATGTATGCACTGTATATAGGCCTATGTTTATGTCCACCTTAAATAAATGGCACCATACTACTTTGCTTAATCTATTTAAGCCAATAATTTCCCAGTTTTTTTCCTTTCTTCATAATGCCTAACATATTTATGCAATGATAATCAAAATATTATTGTTAATATTTTATAAGATCATATTTAGAACAGACTGAACATCTCTATTGATCTGGAAAGAGACAGAAGTTGTAATAAAGGTGTCCTAATTAACTTTCTCCTTTGAAAATTTATTTGAACTCATCTTCCTTTCAGATGACGTGTAAGCAATAACATGACACCATATCAACGCTTTTGGAGTCCTATAATGAAGAGAGGGACAACTTTGTGTTTAAAAAGACTCTCCTGTCTTTCTCTACAGAAGTGAAGTGTTTGTAGTTCCGGGGGAGCCCCCCACCCAATCCCAACGCCATCAGAGGGAGCCTCCCCAAGGCCAAGGGTCATCCTCAAATACTTACTTGGCTGGCTGGTGGCAGAGATGTTGGGGATGCCGTGAGGGGCCATCCCGGCAGGTCCAGGAGGCTGCTGCCCTGGGAGATTCATTGGCTGTCCCATGGGGGGCCCAAGCCCACTCATCCCGGCCAGGGAAGCTCCCTGAGGACGGGAAGCCATCCCCATGGCCCCTGGTCCTGCTGGAGGAGCCCCAGTCAGGTTCTGCAGCGCATTCATTGGGTCTGGGAAGAAAAGAACAGACAGGTGTTCTGCCAACTCAGCTGAAGATGCAGCCGCTCCCTCCCTCCCCCGGTCCCAGACCCTGCCCCGTCTTCCATGAAGCAGAGTTCTGATTCTGGCAACCCTGGAAGAGCCTGAAGGGGTGCCAGAATGCGTTTTTCAGAGCCATTTCCTCTTTCCATCCAGCAGCCTCTGGGACTCCAGGAGACCTACCCCTCCAGGCTGGCCTTCACTTTCTGGCCATGGCACAGCGGAAAAGGCCCTGGAAGCATCACTACAAAGGAAGGGGACAAAGAAAAGGGTCTCCTTACCGTTGACGGAGGCCAGAGACTTCTTGTTGTCTAGGAAAAAAAAAGGATAACAGTTGCACATATACAGATTTACCGAACAACCTGAGTTGGCCAACAGGGCTTCTGCTGGGGAACATGGACTTTCCTTTAAAGTAGGAGATCTTTTAAATCAATAGCTGAAAATGCAAAAGTGGGGGGCTGGAGCCCCTAAAATCTTGGGCTCTTCCTCCAATGGGCTTCAAAGGATTCATTTTCAGGGGGGGGGGGAATTAGGCCAACCGAAACGAGCTGAGTGTTTACATTACCACTATTATTATTACATAGGAACCTCAAAGGTTAAAGGAGAGAATACACCTTCCCATCACAGCTATGGAAACCCTTCAAAGGGAGGACTTGGGAGACTGGGCCTGGCTTTTGCATCTCTATCTCCTTGCTTCTTTCCTTTCCTTCCCCCACTCCCCTCCCTAGAGCTTACAAAATTCTCCTGGACCAGGCCCAGCTACAGTGCTTTCTCAGCTGTTAGGAACCTGGCTCCAAATTCCAATTGGGGAAGGGTTGGGTGCAGCCACTTGGTGTGAGCTCCCCACTCTGGCTCCTTCCCAGCCAGGAAAAATGTCCACAGAAACACAAAGGGCTACTTACGAATATCCCGGAAATGGATGATGAGTCTTGCCACGAGCGAGAGATATTCATCCTGGAATTAGATAAGGAATATGTGCTATGGAAGGCAGCAGGGAGGCAGGCGAGGGCTCACGGGACTTCCTGCCTCATCAGGCTGGGCCTGCAGGCCTTTGTGAAGCAGGGGAGAAAGGCCCCGAGGGTGGGAGGGTGGTCCAAGCAGGAGCAGCCACCAGCAGAGCCAAAGGGCCTGGTGGACTCCAGGGGTCTCTCCTTGGATCCAGTGGGACCTGGCTGTTGCTCTCCTATCTCCTCGATCCATGGGGCACAGAAACCCACGGTCACGCCTTCCCCAAACCCTCCTGCACTGCGTGCCATACAGTCCCGGACATCTCTGACCACAGAACTGGGAGGAGTGGATCATCAATTCACTCTAGGTTACAGTGACGGAGGGGAAGCTGGCTGAGCTGGGGGGAATGGGGCACCGTCCCTACTCTGACCCTTCAGCTTCCCATCCACTTGCAGTCCCCCTGCTTCTAGTCCAGCACCTTCACCACTAGGATATGCTTCCTTTTGGCCTGTGGTAGGGAGGAGGACCTCTTCTCCTTTAAGAAGGGTTTCCAACATACAAGCAGAGGCTCCTTTTCAGAAACTTAAATTCCATCCTGCGCAGATCTCCTCCTCCTCGTTGTCTGTGGCCCCAGGCCGAGAGCAGGAACCCCGGCAGGCAGGGAAGAGCCACGGCTGATGCCCCCCAGAAGGAACCCCTGCGCTGGGGGTCACCTCGACTGCAGGACCACTGGCCAGTCACTTCTCCTTGCAGGGAACTCCCTCCCACCTGTCTCCTCCAGCAAGGAAAGGAGCTGCTTACCCGCGTTTTGGCCTTCATGAAAACATGGTTTTCCATTTCTTTGCTGGTCTTACTGTGAGCAACGCCAGCCTTTCTCATGGCATCTTCACTGCAAGAAACAAGAATCTGCTCAGGTTTGCAGGGGCAGCCTGAGACAACTGTCCAATATTTAGAGTATGGCTCTTGGGTTTCTTTTTAAATACTTGGGTTTTTCTTTTAATACAAACATTTCATCATTCATTAAACAGTGTGTCACAACAGTTAAAGCTTATCACCATATTCATTATTTATATCTATTCTTATTTTAGTACTAGTACTTAAAACTTAACATGTCTATTATTGTAACCTTTCTCTTGTGAATGGGCCTGGCGCTTTACCTGCTTCTCTTCACAACTGCTATAAAGAAAACACTCGGAAAACAGCTGTGGATTTTGTTCAGTAGATTCCCCCCCACCCCACCCAGCCATAATGAACTCCTGGGAAGATTGGTGGCCCCTGTCAGGGCCTGGATCTCTTTCCTTTTTAAAAAATGCTTTTTTATTTTATTTTGGACCACTGAATGGATGCCCGGGCTCTCCTGCACCAGCCCCATTCACTTCCCAGGTAGCACAGCCCACGCTCTGGACTCAATCTGGTCACCATGCAGAAGTATGCTTCCTTGCCTAAAAGCCACAAGAGGCTGGGACATATCAGGAACTGCAGCTGCACAGCTCACTTGGACCAAGAAGCCATGACACTCACCATTGTTCACTGAGATAAAGTCTTCTCTGGCAGGAGGAATTCTGGGTCAGGGCATCTCAATGTTTCGGATTGGGGAGGGTGGATCAGAAGAAACCCCCTACCCCAAAAGCTGAGGATACTGGACCCCTCTAATTAGAGTTCCAAGGGTGAGAGACATAAATATAGGCAAATTAACCCAGGAACAGAAAGGTCTGTACAACTACGCACAAACCATTCAACCCAATGGCTGGCTCATGGACATCCTGGCACGAAAACTTCCAAGGCTTTCTGGACAGCCTGAGGGGGAAGAACATTCCAAAACACATGCCTCCCTCGTGCCAGAAGACCACACAGCCCACCTACTTATGTCTTGCTGGACAGGCAGATTCAACTGAAAACAGGCAATCCTGCAAACAGGATGGCTCTATGTCATGCAGATGGCAACCAGCATGTTTGACTCCATCTGGAAGCCCACCAGTAACCACTTCCGCTCACACCACTGTATTCTGAATGAGCTGTGTTTTCTGGATAGTCTCCAAGGGCGCATTCATCCATTGTTAACATCTGTTCTCTTCTATCGGTACATGTCACAATTCATAAAGGAAGTTGACTAAGCTATGAGTGGTCATGAATAGGGTACCATGATCCAAGAAAAGGCACAATTAGTACACAGATAGATCTGTGCAAAGCCTTTCTTGGCCATAGCTGCTATCTGCTTCCTCAAGCAACAGCTACTATTCCAGGAAGAAAACCAAACTGCACACTGCAACATGGGGAAATGCAACTCCATTTAAAAATGATATTAATAAATTCCTGGAACAAGATGGTCTTGCTCCAGTTCAGCTTCAATTTCTTTCTTTCCATCCAGACTGAACAGCCTCTAGAAACTGAGACAACATACTGCCCTCACTCTGTTTGGTCTAGATGAATACCATGATTGATGGTATCTAAGGCTGCTAAGAGATCTGCATTTGATGTGAATTTGGAGTCGGTCAAACCACAATCGTTGCACCATCCCTATTCTGGCTCCATTACAAATGCAATCTATTTATTTATTTATTTGTTAAATGTAATTGCCACCTATCTCCCCATGGGACTACTCTTGGCAGCTTACAACAATAAAATGGAGGAAATGAAAAAAGTATAAACAGAAAATAGAATAAAAGAAAGAAAAATAATACAACAAGAATACATCAATATGATAACCAAAAGATGGGTGGAAAGCAGAAGTGGGGAGGGGAGGGGGAGTCTGCCATAGATCCAGCAGCCAAATGGCAGAACGAGGTCTTCAGGCTCTGAATGCCATCTCCATCTCCATGCTACAAATAACCATGCTACAAGCAGGATTGAAACTGGACTGAAAAAAGACAGCTAATCCACTTCTTCCAGGGCCCTCTAGAGCTGCAATGTGAATGCCTAAGGCTCAACAACCTTCCCCCAAAAGGGAAAGCTGGAGATTGGATGGATATTAATACTGCTGGTTCCGGAGATATTTTTAAGGTGGACTTCTCCATCAAGGGATCATCCCCTTACTAAAAAACAAATTTACCACCAATTGGACCCCACCATATCCTACTTCCCAAGAGGCCTTAACTCAGTCAGGGGGGGGGCACAGATCTAACATACATCTGACCATTTAGAGTCAGATGAATCAGTTCCTCAAGAGTTAGAGACTCCAACTCTTCCCAGAAAACAAGCAATAGCCAGCCTTGATTAACCAGACTGGAACTGCTGCAGGTTTCCCTATAATTATCAGGCACTCCTCTCAAAGATCCTGCCCCCTGTAGCATCATGCCATCCTGCTTCTACACCCTTTTTTACACCTCTAGCTGACTCCAAGATGCCTCAAAAATGTGCCAGTCTGGAACAGGGGTAGAAACCTTTTTGATTCTTCAAGGAATTGGCAGGAAAGACATTTTAGATAAAACTTAAGGATCAAAACTGGTCTCTTAAATAAGTAAGGAATACATTTTACTCTTTAATCCACCTGCTTTCCAGCATTTTGGAGCCATTCAATACAGGAAATAGGAACTCTGGTGGTTGTATTGGGAGGATAACAGATATCCCTGTCCAACCTTGTTTCTAAAATGGTCAGCATCATGCCTGAAAGAGAGCCTGTCCATGTTGCTGGAATCCTGTGGCGCCATGGCTGCCCTGGGCAGACAAGTAGGTCATGGCCAAGAGGACCTCTGGAAGCTCCAGCCTGCTCTAGAGCGAGTGAGCGCTGCAATAGGAACTTGCATTTTCATTGGTGCTCAGTTAGTCCAATGCGCTCTGAATGGGGCTGTCTTTACTGACCACTGGAAACTGAAGCTGGTGAAAGTCATGTGCTTTTGGCACAAGGCTCCTTAAGCACACATCATTTGCCAACAGGTTTGCAGATGTAATTTTAAAGTCTGGTTTTACCTATGCTCCTACCTGGCCGAGGTACCTTCAGGACTGCCTGCTTGAAGAACAAACAATCCATTTGAGAAGCCCCTCTAATTTGTGATGATGGTGTCAGTAATTGTCTCTCTCTCCCAATTTCTCCTTAAAACCACATGAACTTGTGCATTGAAGGGAAATTTCATTAATATGGGGAATTAAAGGTATTTCCACTGTAAAGTTATTGCTGCAACTGATCATTTGGCTCTGAAAATATCAACCAGAGCCAAGAAATAGGCTTCATTAGCTGCATCCCTCATCATTCATAAAACCAAAGAGAGGAAAGGAATGGGGGCTGATTTACTAAAAATCATGCCATGCCAACTAAAGGCTTTGAAGTTAATCCAGTAATCCATCTTCAGGCATTAAGTGCAAAGAAAGAAAAAGTTGGGGAATCAATTGTAAGCCCAGAAAATGTTTGCTAATGACAAAGTCTTGTATAACTATTTTAGTTTTCTAGAATCCCGAGTAAGCAGAGAACATCTGCATGTCACCAGTATTGGAGCTATTCTTGCTCTTTGGGGAGAGTAAATCAGAAAGTTTTAGAGCTCTCTTTACATTGCTATCTGATTTAATTGAAATTGAGCACATTAACAGAATGCTCTGACATAAATATTGATACCTGCTTTAGTGTCATAGTGAAGCCATCAGACTAGAAATGGAGAGATGGTGAGTTCTAGTCCTGCCTGGGCCAGTCACTTTCTCTCAGTCCTACAAAGGAGGCAATAGCAAACCACTTCTGAAAAACCTTGCCAAGAAAACTGCAAGGATTAATCCAAGCCATCTCACAGAATCAGACATGGTGCAACGGAAGGGGGGAAAAACCATAAACATCAAAGGCTGGAATCACTTTGATTACTGCCACTGTTGTTTGCTACTACAAAATAAAATATTCTGTGTTGATTCTGACAAGATTCGGTGAACTCTGTTAGAATGGGGTCCCTGCAACTGAAGCATAAAATACCAACTTCTACCAAAGACTAGCACAAATGTGCTTTTCTTTTATGTGCTGCATCAACTTCCAAGGGGAAATTTTTAAAATTGTTTCACTGTTGTAAGCCACCCAGAGTAGCCCTTTTTGTGTTTTGAGGGAAATGTAAAAAATACCAGATGTGATTTATAAAAATTAATTGGAGTCCTGACGTCTAACTCCTCCTTAGAATTGCCAGCTGAATAAGAAGCATTTGGGAGTTAAAATCATATCATCTACAAATAAATTTAAAAGATGCCTACCTCTTATCTCCCACTTTCACTCCACAAATCTGATTATTGGATCAGAGTGCTATTACAATGCTTCTATAGCTAAGTTAAATGATAGCGGTGATAAAAGAGGCATCTCCTTGATGCCGCTTAAAATAGTTAAGGGATATGAATCATAGCTGCTTAATCATATCTGAGTTTGGCCTATAAATATCTTCAATCCTCTTTAATTTAATATTAGTTTTACATATAGTATTCCCAGGGAATCAAGAGCTTTAGGTTTATCTAAGGAACAAATGACCAGGAAAGTTTAATTTGACTAAATTGTAAAATAATAATTTCTTGGGGGTTTCTACAGAAGTAGGAGGAAATCTTTGGGTTACCATGAGAGATTCTGCTCCTGTCCTAAAAACATTGTTTCACAGCAAGACTTCGCAACAGGCCTTCACCTGAATTCGAGAGGGGCGGGCGACCTTTTCAGGTATCTTGGCAGGTCTGCCTGCAAGACGGGCCAAACCTCACCTGCCGCCACTTCCCACCTGGCCGGGCCCCTCCCTGTAGGTAAGGCGCGGGGGGAGGCTCTGCGTTGCCTCCCACAGGGCCCCGGCAGGCAGCTCTTGCCCAGCTTCGGCCTCAAGCCGGTCAGCCGCCAACTCGGCGCCCCGAACTCGCCCCGGGCCGCCCTTCCCTCGGCCCAGAGGTCGGGCCACGCGGGGCTCCCCCGAGCAGCTCCGAAAGGCCAGGGCCCCGCCACTCACATCTGGCTGACCAGCTTCTGCCGGAAGTTGGCGCTGCGCCACTCGCTCTCCTCCATGCCGCTGCCGCCGCCGCCACAACGGGCGCCCGAGCCAGAGCGCCTCCGCAGAGCCGCGGGAAGTGGGCGGGCGCGCGCGCGGCACGCCGGGAAGTGGAGTTCCGCAACCGCGCTTCTTGCTTCCGGCAGGGCCGACTCCGCGGGTGGCGGGCGGAGCGTGTGCGGCGCTGGGCGGGCCCGCGGAACCCCGTCTCCGGCCAGGTAGGCGCGGCGGGGGCGGTGGGTTGGCGGCTGTGGGCGAGGCCGGCCTGTGCAAAGAGCCTCTGGCCGGGGCAGGCGCGCCAGTGGGGCCGGAGAGACGCGGCGCTTGTCGCTGGGGGCGGACTCCCCCAGGAGGCTGGAGGAGCCGCCAAAGTCCCCGCGGCCCTTCCAGGAGGCGCCGAGCGATGGGCCGGCCGAGCGCGGGTCTGCCCTCTCAATCGCTGTCAGTTCTTGTACCAGCTCATCTTCCCTCGCAGATTCAGACTCCGACGGTGACATGACAGGCTGTTACAGATGCTTCTTCTTTGAACAGGCCAAAATGGGGGGGGGGGGGGGGCAGGCGGCAGGCAGCAGGGTCCATTGACTGAAGATGGAAGCAGCCTAATGTCATTCCCATAAAAGATTCCATAATCTTTTTTTTTTTTTTTGTAGATAAGAATCTGCAATTTGTGTTCATGGTAATGGGCAACAAAGGTTTTGAATGAGGAAATCAGCCTAAGTGAAACCAGTTGCTCCTCAGGGAAGCCCAGGTGCTGTGTCCTCTGATTCCCAAGGAGGTTCTGCCCAGGATGGCAGGTCAGCAGGAGGAGATGGAGCCCCTCAAGATCCCCCTGGAGCCTTTCACCAAGAAGTGCTCCAGGAAGACCTACCATAGCGCTGGGCACTCCCAGACCCTGCTGAGTGGCCTGGGGGCTCTCCGGGACCGCGGGATCCTCTTCGATGTTGTTCTGCATGTGGAGGGGAAGACCATTGAGGCTCATCGCATCCTCCTAGCTGCATCCTGTGATTACTTCAGGTCTGTGCCTGTAATAAAATTAAAATCTGAAATTGCTGGAAATGAGCAATGGAAAAGTAAAACACGGCTGTTTGAAACTGGCAAACTCTGACTTTTATATGCTTGGTGATTAAGCAAAGTTGCATCTAATTTAATCATTAGATTTAATCAAATGTAATCAAACCAAATTTAGCATTTGTCTTCCTGCTTCTTACCTGTAATGCTCTTTCTGCCTGTTTAAGGAGTATTTGCAAAAGGTGGATGTTGCTTGGTCCATTGCTTTGGCAAGGTTGTTTTTGTGTCTTCCTTTACAAAATTCTGCAATGGAATCAGTCAAAGGGAGCATGAAGAAGCCCATTCTCTTTTCAGTGCAGGATGCTGACATGGCTGCTCAGCTTATCATTAGAAGCTTTACCTAGAAAAAACTTCAAGTAACTAAATCAGTGTTTTCTCTTACATAAACAGCTCCCACAATGGGCATCTAAAATTGCTGTGCGCGTTCCTGAAGTTAGTTGTAGCATATTCCCTGGAGGAAACAGAGCATTTGCTCCCTTCCTTCTCCAGTTGTGTGGGCTGTAATTGTGCCTCCCTTTAATCTGTAGCTTGGGGAGCGTGGGAGCTTAGTGATTAAAGATGCTGAGGTTGTCAATTGGAAAGCTGGCATTCTGGGTTCAAGACCCAAGTGCTGCACTATGGAGTGAGCTCCTGTTACCTGCCCCAGTTCTTGCCCATCTAGCAGTTCAAAAGCACACAAATGCAGGTAGATAAATACCATAGGTACCATTTTGATGGGATGGTAACAGCATTCCATGCACCTCACTGTGTGGTCATGCTGGTCACATGACCATGGAAATACTTTCAGATAATGCTGGCTCCCTCGGGCAAGAAATGGAGACGAACATCACCTCCCAGATCTGGATATAACTGGATAGGGGAAACCTTTATCTTTACCTTTTAATCTGTAGACTAAATATGCTCCCTTCTTCCCATGACTTAGTTTCCAGGTCTTCTCTCTCCACCACAATCCTGGCAGATCTTCTCTTATGCGAGGGATGAGATTCCAGATTCTGGAGAACCTCACCTGCACAGAATAGAGCCAAGCTTTTGTTTCCTGTAACTAGAGCATTGGGCATCTGTTAATGCAACCTGGCTTTGAATTGAGCTCAGGTTCAGGTTCTCTTTATCTTTCTACTAAGGCCACGGATTCCCATTCTTTTGTGCTGTGTTTCTATCATCCTGATCTCGCTCGGGCTTTCTGCTATCACTTAGCTCAGAGAGAAGTCCCAGACGTGGCAAGCTAGTTGTGTGCAGAGGAGGCGGAACCCAGCCTGACATATCATCCCATGCATGCCTGAGTGGACCATAAGAATTGGGTCCTCCTGTCAGCACAGCTCGCCTTGCCACCTCTGTAGCAGCGCAAGGATGAATTTAAAAACTGCATGATGGCATGTTGTCTTTATACTTTTGATTGGGAGAAGTAACTGAAAGAAGATCTTTCCTTTTGTAGGGGAATGTTTGCTGGGGGACTCAGAGAAATGGAACAGGAAGAAATTCATATTCAGGGCATATCGTATAATGCCATGTGTAAAATCCTGAACTTCATATATACTTCGGACTTGGAACTTGGCCTAAACAATGTGCAAGAAATTCTAGCTGCATCCTGTCAGCTACAGGTGAGCTTTGGCAGCTCTAAAAGATGTGAGATGTGTTGGGGAAGAAAGGCAGCTTCTTCATTTATTAAGAGAGATCAGATAGTTTTCTTGGCCTGAAACATGGCACACTTCTCAAGAATGGCATTATGAGCCCTAGGTAATTGAGACCGCTAGGGATCTGTCTGACATAAGTGCTAGTGGTGTGATAAAAATTGCTTTAAAATTTTTGGAACTTTGAAATTCCTTTACATGCTAAAGTAATAATAAAGACCCCCGAATCCCCTGGATGGTAGTGAAATCTGTTTATATATCCTGAGGGTACCCTATCTCTATTTGTAGCCCATTTTACAGCCCTTCCAGCCCCTCCCATTTTGGATCTTGCTGCTTTCCCACATGGTAAAAGAAAAAGTATCCCAGCCTCCCAAAGGTCACCCTTTCCTGCTCTTCAGGAGGGTGAACAAGCAGGGCATCCACAGTGGATCTCAGCCTGTTGGCAGAGAACACCATGCTTTTGGCATGTAAGCGTGCCTTCAGTTGAGCATGAACCCGGGTTTGCAGCTGGTAAAAATGTTGTGCTACGTCTGGAGATGCCGGCCCTTCTCTAGAGCGGCCCACTGCTGAAAAAGCCCAAGCTGTGTCCGTAGTCAAAGGCTTTGTAATCGTCCAGCTTGGAGAGAAGCAGCGCAGAGGCTTTGTAAGGATTGGCAGAAGAATGCCTTGAAGTTGGAAGGGCTCCTAGACCTGAGGAAAAGTGTCTCATGGAGGGATGGGGCAGGGAGTCGCATGATTTCAGGCTGAAGGCGATAATGGTGGGAAGATGCATGTAGGGCCTTTTCTAGCTCCCTGGGTTCAGCCCTGGAGCAGGTCAACCGATCCTCGGCTCTAAATACCAGGTCATTTTGCAACAAGGCCTCCCTCATCCAGGACCTTATCATAGATGAGAGAGTCAATTTGACATGCCTGAATGAACTGGGATGGACACTCCCCTCTTAGAAGATGCTTCTACCTGGGTTTCAGGTGTGGCATCAGCAGCAACTCCTGGCAGCAGTGAATTATTATCGTCTTATGGCAGTCCAAGGCCCCACCATTTACTGGTTCTGAGATCCCACTTGTGAGCTTGGGCTCCAGGGACCCGATGAGATTGTGGCTACTGCAGCAGCCTCTCTGCGGCACAGCGGCTTCCCTTCCTCCGTTGGTGGCAGAGGTTCCCAGTCTTGCGATGCTGAGAGACTTTGTATCCCTTGGCAGCTCAGGCATTCATGGCCACCTTGGATGTGATTCATCTCCTTCCCTTTTTGAACTGAGCAGCGATAGAAATAAAAGAAATAAAGTTAATATTGACCTCTTGTCATGATCAGACCATTTTCTGGCTGTTCTGGATCACTTTGGTGTGGCTTTGCACGTTAGGGAGGTGATCCTACTCAGCTGGCCTTCTCCAGGTCCTGGAAGACTCCGCTGGGTTTCAGAGGAAGTTCCCTGAGGCTCTACTGCAGAATTCAACCTGAGGTCTTAGTCACTACCTAGAATGAGAGGGTGACACCTCTGGGCCTCTCCCTGTTTAGGGACCTCATAGGGTTCGCTGGTTTTCAAAACAGCTTTTGGAAACGAAACAAAAGAGACATCCAGAACACCACTAGAGAGAGATGAGGGAATCTATAAGAGTCTACATTAAGGACGGCATTGTAGTAATAAAGGTAACAAGGTAATTATTTTTCCACTCTTATTCCATCTGCTGAGGGCTAGCCAACAGCTCTAGTTAAGGTGACCTGATCTGAACTAGGAAGAAAAGGGTGAGAGGAACATCTGCAGAACTGCTGGGAGGATTAGTCAAAGTCCTTGATGAATAATCCCTTGGGTCCAGTCTAAGCGTGGCCCCAATTATGCAGGTTCTCTTGGGGTGACTGAGATACAATCTGAGCAAAGCATGAAGTCTCGAGGTGAATGGGGTCCTCAGAATTGTGTGTCTGTCAGTTAATTAGAGCCATCTCCCCCATGGTTGGTCAAGAGATAATGAATGGTAGAACCCAAGCAGTGATGGTTTTATTCTTCGGTGAGGGAAGAAGCAGTGGTCCATCTCTCCCTCAAAAAAGGCATCACTGGACCAACGGTACTAGAAAGTCACACAGGGTCCTAGAGGTACCAGATTATCTGGATCCCCTAGCCAGTGCCCGGGTGTGGCATTAACCATACCCTACCTATCAATGTCATGAAAGCAATAATGAATCCCTTCTGGAGATTTTTCACACCTGGACCAACTTGGGGTGCTGGGAGTGGGGCATGTGCACCAGTTGTGCCTGTTTTGGGGATAAAAAGCTCCACAATTGGGCTGTTGCAACCCACTGTGCATGAATCTGCCTATAAAGAGATTCAGAAGCTACAGCCGGCCTAGAATGTGGCGGTACAA